ATCTTAGCTTACACCCTCTTTCTCCTTCCCTTCGGAATCGTAGAGGCTTACTGGGTATGATATGGTCGCTGCAATGACTTGCGGGAGCAAATATGTGCTCCTATTAAAAATCTACTCAATCCAAAGACTTTACTCTGCAGAAACCACAACTCGCCGTGAAAAGAACCGAATTAATCTTAACTGTAAAAACATATCATCTCAAAAATTATCACTCCTGAACTCTTTGTTCCTCCATTGCTTTACTGATGAGCACAAGGGGAGGATATAGCTAACTATTCCCTTGTTAGACGTAAACCAAGACGTCTAAGATAAGGGCACGCGCGAAACGGAAACTAAGCTAACTTTGAGAGCTACCCCCCTTGAATCTGTGATTTATTCTACTTATTCCATTCTATTCTACGCAGTAGTTGAATGTTCAATTCAAAAATTCTATAACAGTATAATAATCTATGATTAAGCCAATATTTTTACCTCCCAGACAAGTCTAGTACCATTTAGCTGAGGGTAAAAGGCTCGGTTAGCCTGAGCAAGAACCGATTCAGGATTGGACCCTCGGACCGCGCGCACGGCAAACGGTGCAGTCTACTGCACCTTCTCTTTCTGATATCTAGTTTTCACCTAATGAAATTGGCTGAGATGGTATAAGGACAGTGGCGCAGCTTATCACGCGCACGATCGCTGATGGGTTCCAGCTCAAGCCAGTCAACAGGCTCACACCTCGGGTTGGTTAGTTAGTACCACAGTTTTATGGAAAGATAAGAATACAGACCTGTGCAGTCCCCGCATTCCATTGTATGGGCACTGTCATGTTCAAAATGAACCTACGAATTCGGCTGGCAGCAGGATGCGAGGCGCATCCCAGAAAAGAATTGATCAACGCCGGAAACTTCACCCTCATTCTCCAACCATTAAGGCAACGCTTTAGAAAACTTGACTCTATAATGGGCCTCCTTCACCTTTGTGGAAGCTCACCCAACCTAGAACTGGTGGGGAGCCTTAGACTGATAGTACATGGGAATCCAAAGCTGAGGAACTAGGGTTTCCCAAGGAACTTGTAATCGATACATGGTGACAAAATTCAAGCTTTTTGTGAAAATGACGTTTACGACATGAGACTGTTGTCCTTCGTGCAATACCGGTAGCGCGCTGACAGAAAAAGCAATATTGCCCTTCGGCCTGTAATGTCGTAAAGTTAATTTGGCATGCATTCAATGCGATGATGCGTCAGCTGAGTTGGTCGCGTTTGGTATGTCTCTAGATTGTTGTCAGTAAGTTTTTCTTTGGAAATATACAAATTTCAGATGGGTACTTTCACGTACTACAGCATACTGGGTACGTTCATCTGCACGGGTATTCTTCTTGTATCCACGATTGTGCTGGTGATTGACATTGTGGACGAGATGATGAATTTCGCGCAGAGGTCGAAGAGGATATCAATCAGTTTAAGGTGAATCGCTGCCGATTTACTCAAGGTTAAAAGCACATTTGTGACCACAATACCATATCAATACCTTATCGAAGGCCTGATTTCCCTTTGAGAAGAGACCGCTAAACCATAAGGTTACCCCAGACTCTATTCCCCCTCCAGTAGTTATTTAAGAAGTGATAATTGATAATTTGGGATGTGTCGGATAGCGCAATTCGCGACTCTCGAACTTAAAGGCCAGTTGGCCCACGATAAATCCCCCAAAAACGGAAAAACTAGGATCAATAATTCCTGGCAGGATAGAATCCGCGGACCCTTGAGCAGTGTGCTGCATAGCGGGCAGTTTTCTTTGAGGAAGGCTGCCCTTATAATGGGCCCCCCTCAAGCCTACTTTACGTCCCAAACGCCCGCCACGCCCGCCCGCCCACAAACGGACGACCGTTTCTGACGCTCGTATTCATTCATTTGCTGAGCAAATTATGAAGCAAAGGGATTGGTATGAAGCGGCGGTGATGCTGCATGCATACATGGGTACACATATGCAGCCGTATCTTCGGTAGCGGTGATTGGTAAGATGCCTACGGAAACTCGTCCGAAATCGATTTAATAGTCACTGAGAATGGAGTATTATTCTTCGCAGGATTTTGACCGCTTCACTCCGTTCTTTCACCATTTCCCCACTATACTACAGCGCCATACTAGCATTTTAGGCTAAGTAGGAAACCATCGTGCCAACTGCCTTTAAGTCTCGGCTTATTGTTCGCAGATGTCCTATTTTTTGATGGGCGTACAGCCAAGATTGTTTTGACACCTTTTTGGATGACATTTGCCGATGTGACCTTCTTCGGAGCTCGAAAAGTCGTTAAACTAAACATTTGATTCGTCGACTGGAGGGTCTACGTCCCTCGGTGGTAATAGTGCGATTTGAACAGGATGATCCTCGGGGGCTACCCTGATGTTCCTATCCCGAGGAGTGACCAAGAGAGATAAACGACTGTCGGTAAATGTCAAGCGCACCCTCTCGACCCGTCTGAGCAAACCCTGTCCTAGCAACTACTGAAAGGCCCGTTGCCGTTCCCCTCCCCTCCTCAAAACTCACGGGGCACGTTGATCGCAATCTAAACGGGTGGCTTTCTCGCAAAGATGAGCCAGTTTGTGCGAAACCGTCACACCCACACAAGTTATCCCTGCTTATTTAATTTCGAGGATCCGCATATCAGGGGCGGGGCCGTTGAGATTGGCGGAGAACGGTAGTATCAGACCACCCTGACTCCCCACTCCAATTTCTTACTTCGGTACTCCCCTTTTCTACATACCATCTTCCAAAATCCTTACACACCCTCTGCTCGGAAATTTTTGCAAGTTTCCCCTCAAATACTGCATGCCATCAAGCCGGGTGAGGAGAGTGCCTCCGAACAGCTACTAATTTCAGTAAGTTCGCGATGTAAGAAAACTTTGAAGACCCCGCCCAGTCGGAGGGAAAATCGTGAAAAAAATGACCAAAAAATCCCTCCCTGTTAGAAACATTACTGCTAATTGTAAGACCAAATGTAATACCTCACGTCTTCTAGGGCTGCGTTCATAGCTTGCGACGACGTTGCCGACGTCGATGTAACCGACGTAATGGCGACTGACCGAGTTTGTATACGTGACGATTACGGTATCGATCGGATGTTACGTGGATACGCGTCGTAAAAGGGCGTAGTTCGAAATTAACCGACGTCTTCGGCGACGACCCTCAGAAGAAAGGATACCTATCGATCGGTAATCGCCATGACCGACGTAACCGACGTATCGACGTAACCGGCGACAGAAGATTAGATACGTATCGACTGACGTCGGGTTACGTCAACATCGCCGACGTCGTCGCAAAGTATGAACGCAGCACAAGATAAATGCTCCATACTATCTGGCTCACGTGATAGTGTCAATCAATCTGTATACTCAATAGGAAATCCAGATGCAAGATCATTAGTTAGCTGTGACAGGGGCATCGGTAAGTCAGCTGCCACGAATGCCCACCACTTACATCCGAGTGTTTCGCTTTCGGTTCAGCTAACAGCGAAAGCGAACAGGTTTCCTGTGATCCATCTGATAAACTGATATCGTTACTAACTGGTTCTTTGAAAGTAGTAGCAGGGTACCACCGCTCTAGTCGTACGGCACAGCGCGACCACTGAAACTCAGGAGACTCGGCATGGGAAGGTGTGGGGGAGGATGAAAGTGTTGCGCTAGATAGTTGGCATCACGCGTTTGCACCGCAACTGTAAAATACATCTACAGAGGGCTCAGCGTACAGTCCTCATCACTGTCGGGTCGCAATCAGCGCTTCCCCGCCTGCGGCCTTGCTGATTCCTCCTGCATCGATCATTGTTCCATCACCATTGGTAAAGCAAGAATGCCGCACCCGAGCTCGTGCCACGCTGAGCTCGCCGCCCCGACAATTTGCAAGGTCACAAACTACAAGTACTGTGCAGATGAGGGGAGTAAGGTCGCCTCGGATGGATATGGACCACAGTACTTTCATCCGCATGCGAGTGTAACACCTTCTGTAGACGTGGACTTTCGACTCGAAAAGCAGCTTGAGTATTTGAAAGAGCCATGGCCCCACAATTTAGTTGTGGATTCGCAAATAATTGGCATCTAGCCGACCAGGATACAAATGGGAGAAGGGTCACCACCAGAGCAGCATAATGAGCCACCAAGTGGGACAAAAGTTCGAGGGTAATAAGATGGTCTGACCATTGTTCAGAACAACCAACACGTTTACCATTGCACCATGCGCTTTCACCGTCTGGTGCGATGAACCTCATCCCGAAGCAGGGTACAGCATGGGGACGTGAACGCCCCCCCCCCCCCCCACTTCGAATGGGGTCCAGGCACGACCCTCCCCCTTCCACGGCTTTTTTGCCGACGACGAGCAATGAGTATATAGTCGGCAAAGAAATTACTGAGCGGGGATGGGTATACAATAACAATGCAGCGTATATCCCACGGGCGTACAGAATGCATATAGTGCATATAAAACAAAATTAATACGACCCCCCCTTTTCCACAAGAAAAAATCAACTATCAAAATAAATTTGTCTTACAAATACGACCCCCCCCCCTCCCCAGAGCAAAAGTACGACCCCCATGGGTTTGACACAACGATGCTGTACCCTGTCGAAGACAACCATGTGGTGTCAAAGAGCAGGAACTGTGACCCTCTGTAGAATGGCAGCACTGCAGTTTGTCATCGAATCAGCTGATGAAGTTTTTTCACTCACCTAACTATCCTGTTCCAATTACTGATTTGGATTGATGTTGAAATATTTGTGTAAAGGGTGGAAACGTTTGGTAGATGCCTGTGCCTGAATTTCCTGCACCGCTAACGACGTGACAATCAGCGAGCTATCCTATGATTGCTCATGATAATTCAGGCCACCAAAAATTGATAAAACCACTTGCGGTCCAGGTCAAACAACTGAAAAACAAATATGGGGAAAGATACCACTCAGAGCACAGGAGGTTCGTGGTTCGCCTGTTACCCCAGACGAACCATCATTCTCCCGGCAAATGTCGTCTGCTAGGATTTTTTATTTGCTACTACTGTTCAGACCTACGCAGACGATGCATGGATGATAATGGTGACTACAAACCATGCACCGTCAGCCAAACACCATAACGTCTTCTACGACTCTATCATTCGTGGAAAAAGAGGCGGAACTTATGTCGCAGGAGGTGGCGAGTTCTATGGAGGAGGTGGCGCTGATGGCTGCCAATGTGCTGCAAAAGCAGCAATTCAGGCCCCTTCAGGAGCACCTTGTGTTTGAGAATTACTCAACTCTGCTAACTTGACACAAGGCTGACAATCCTTTATTTAGGACCTCCTGGATATGCGGGAATACCTGGGAGAGGACGGTAGCCCTGGACTACCTGGACAACCGGGTATCCCTGGTGAGGCCGCTCCTCAAGACCATGAGGCAGGATGCATCCAATGCCCAGCTGGGCCTCCTGGTCCACAAGGACCGGATGGAGCGCCTGGTCCAGCGGGAGTTCCAGGACTTCCCGGAGAAGATGGGCTGGAAAACTCAGGCGGTATACCAGGATTTGAATCATTATCGTCTGACGTCTGAGTTAAAGCTCCACTTTCAGGTTTCGCCGGGCCTCCTGGGCCTCCAGGACTGCCTGGTCGCAGCGGGAACCCCGGCATACCAGGACAAGATGGATCACCTGGAGCACCAGGTATGTGTTACCCTGTAAGGTAGTTGTGCCCTGTGAATCTTCAGCTGTATACATTCAGGGACTCGAACAATTAACCATCCAGGGCCAGAAGGCCCCCCGGGGCCACAGGGAGCTCCTGGTTTTGATGGTCAGGATGGCATCAGTAATGGAAATGGTTCACCAGGACCAGCAGGACCACCTGGTCGACCTGGCAATGCTGGAGTTCCAGGAAGGCCAGGAGCTCCTGGTCAACCCGGTTATGGTGGAAGACCAGGATCGGACGCCTCTTATTGCCCATGCCCAGCAAGGAAAGCTGCTCGATTCTGGACAGAGGACGATGAACCTGAAAGTGTTGCCAGAAGACGTCGCGTCAGAGTGCGGAAAATCAAGAAATCAAAGCGTAATCTGCCTAACAAACCGCTACAGTGAAATTCAAAATCATTTTTCTGCGCAAAAAGATTAGGAGGAGGCTACTTTATCAAGCTCCTTTTGACGGTAGAAATATTGTATCAAGTACTCGATATTCGGGAACCAAAGAATAAAAGTTGTTTTCTCGTCAAAAATGGCAGAGACACTACTGGTATGATGTGCCTACTAGGTAAGCTGTAACGCAAAACAATAGTTGTAAGCATTCTCTCATTCTTTTTAGCAGAATCTGGCGCGAGCCAGACGACAGAAGAAGAGTAACACTGAAAGCTTCGCACTCAAGATTGTGATTCTTGCTGCGCCTAGGATCGCCAAAGTGTGGACAATTTTCTTTTCGTAGTTTTTTTTGTAGAACCTGGATGCCATTGAGTAGAAACATGGCTGTGGAATCATTATTCGTCTTAGGATACTTGTCAACAGCGAAGCACCCCACATCCTTCCCATTTTATTCCTCCTTTCCTTCTTTCCATTCTCCCTTCTCTCTCCCCGCTTTTTTCCTTCACCCTTCGTCTGCTGGACCATTAGATGCGATAAGAAAATACCTCTGAACCCTCACAGCAGAAGCATGTCGTTGATCAGAAGCAAACTGTAACCGGATCGCTTCCCCAAGTCAAAAGCGTCACACATTCTACCACTACCAGAATAAACACATTACAAGAGATTCTTGACAGCTGTCGCGTCAAATTATAATACACCATGTGAACGAAAACCAGTTTAGTAACATAAACGTGGTTCAAGAAGACTGAGAAGTCCACTGGCAGTCACCTACAATTAAACAAGAACTCCTACAACGTCTCATAGACGGTTAACGAATAAAATCACAAGGAATAAAATCAAATCCAATCATATATGTATTCCCACTATGTTTATAAATCGCCAGGTAATGGTCTGTTGATTTGTGTGTTGCGTGTTGGACGCGCAAATCCATAACTTCCTTCAATCAGTCTCAAATTCGTTAGCAATGTACGAGGGTCGAGCAGGAACACTGCTAGTAGATGGCAGGAAGTGATAAGAGCCGACAAGCGCTGACAAGAGGCCTCAAAAGGAGCAGGAAGCACCAAATTCATAAACTCGCGCGTCTCAGCAATGGTGGATTCTTGGTTCCAGGAGGGGAAATAGGGGCTGGACGTGAACATCATTGGTGAGTTGCAGGAGATGACAGAAGCTGACACAAGGGCTGACAAGGGGCCTTAACACGTTGACGACATCCTGAGCCACCGGTGGTTCATGACATTCTCCATCACTTTTTGGCGTTATTCGCGCGGTTAATCGATCTTTTTCTTGCTTTCGAGTAAGCTGTGGAAGGTGAGTTTCCAACAAGGATGAGCAAGAAAAATGTTGCTGCCCCATGAGATATTTTGAATTAAAAATTGAAATTTTTCAACTAGCTACTGCTGCGGCAGAAACCTCCCAAAAAAGCCTCTTTTTGGGAAAACCTTGGCTGTAGGAATGCCGGTATGATGTCATACCGATGAGGACCTCAGCTTGTCATTGGCGCCATATGGCGCCAGTAGGCGCCACTTTGGCGCTAGCAGTCTCTTTGACACCGAATTTGATAGAAACCTCTACACCTGGGTTATTTGACATCCTTGTCACGAATATATTGTTACCTTCCGAAGTCGGCGCCACCTGGCAGCGCACGATCACTTTCTTGCGACCTAAGTTGGATACAAACTCGAACACCAACACCTGGCTTATCTGACAACTCCTTGTATCCTTACGAATGTATCATTCCTTCTCAGTATTAACGCCGTTTGGTGATCTTGAGATGGTGAACAAGTGATAAAATATGGATAGTGGAAATAAAATATGGATAAATAGTGATAATAAATATTGCTATCTGTGAAAATCGAGCTAAAGTGGGCGGAGCTAGGTGTGTGGGGCCTTATGCATCCTTTGTGCAATTGCTTGTTTGTGAGCAATATACGAAGGAGTGTGTTTGAAAGCGTCAACTTCAAGATAAGTTATAAAAATTAAGTATAAAACAAACCTGTTAAAAAGTGGGAGTGGCCAGCTATGTGTCGGTGTGGCCATCTATGAATCATTGTAATGTGTGAAAAGCAGAAAATTCCAAGAAAATTCTTAGAAACGGAAGTTATGGAACACATTTTGGAAATCACGATCGCGCTAAAAAGTGAGCGTGATCGCAGAGGGCGGGGCATGAGATGGCATCCAGTAGGGTCAAAGATGGTTGAAATAGCAGTCCCTACACGACTGACTTATCATTTTGCGAAATTTGACATGCAGGCCCAAAAAAGTGGTCCACGATGTGGACACATCTGAGCCAACCGCAGTTGGCTCAGCAACGGACGCATGCGAAAGCACGCCATTGTCCACGTGGCCCGCTTTCCTGCAAAACGCGATTGTCCCGGCGCCTGGATGCGGGCGCGCGGGCCGTCAACGCGTTGCTTCAAAAGGGGTCACCATATTCATAACTTCGTGTACATCCGCCGGGCCCCAAGAAAAGGCAAGAAGTGGCGCCGCTCAGCCACACTTGGTTCAAAGCGATAAAATGATAAAGGTCTACGCTGTTGGCATTATTCCCTTTGTGCAATGCGGCCGCCAATCCCTCAGTCAAATCGGCTCAGTGCGCCGCTCATTGGATGCCGATGTCTCCTCATACGAGGCGAGCCAGCGCCATTAACAAGTCAGCTAGTTCTTATACTTCCAGGACGAACTCTGTTCCATTTACCGCTCCTAGGAGTTCGCGAGTTGGCCGGAGGGGCCCGGTAGAAAAACCTCTGGTCTGCGCCCCTAGAAGGGGAGTCCAGCCAGATTCAACCCAGGAAAGCGTGACACTGTAGCAACACCACCCCTCCGTGTTGCAATCAAGTGTAGGTACATAATACATTGTCCCTTTTAAGAAAGGGAAAATATTCGGGATTCCCAACGTGTTAATCATGGAGACCGTTTGGAGGCAGTTCTTAAGTTCCAGACTTTGCAACCGACCTCACACAGCGGACCAGCATGAACCTACCATCCACGCATAGGGTACACCTTTGACAGTCGGCCCACTTATTCCCAGTATGCCAGATCGGGCTCTCACCCAGCCGAGCAAGATTCTATTCGCATTCTATTCATTCGCCGAGCATATCTATCAATACAAATTCCCTGCGCCGACGGAACATTGATCCGTATAGTCCAAGACATAAGAAACGCTGACTGCTCACATCACTACTTTCCCAACGTGTTAGTACAGGCCCACATCACGATTCACTTTGTCATTACAATTGTGAATGAAGCCAGAATCGTTTGCACCGCATCTCGCACAGGGATTGCTCACACCGCGCTAAAAACTTTTATCCTTCTTTCACACTATAATATCGATCAATTATCAAAGACAGCCCCTGTCGACTCAACAGGCAACTCATGAATGTCCTTCCTTGAAATAGTCTGTCCTTCAGCTCTTTAATATTAACCTCACTTTTTGTACCTTTACAGTAATCAAATTTTGGCCTCTTCAATCGGCAGTCTCTCACGCCCCTCCTAGTTGTCCCGCCCACTGCAAAGGCCCTAACGTTCCCGTTACAGACCAGCGTTTTCCCTTTATCTTTCACCTCGTTAGATTGGTATCAGCCAACTACGCACTGACGTAAGAAGCGATTACTGAACCCAGAAAGCCGCAGATTGATCGCTCTTGCTGATCTGAACACGAAGTTACATAGATCGTGTGGATACTTCTGTATACAAATTTTAACTACAATGACCCACTCCCCCTCTCTCCCCCCCAAAAAAAAAAAAACGGGGCCCAATTATTGTAATTTTCCCAGCGATCGTGCATCAACTAATGAAATCCTCCGCTCCTGCGGTGACCTACAAAAAGCGCTGAAATTTCTCGCCGCTGCCCCCGCTGCTTTATAACTCTTCCTTATTGAGCATACTGCGCTCTATTCACTGACATTGAAACCATAGATGACCTCTGACATGCCGATATAGCCAGTGATTATTTGTGCACGACGTCAATGCGCAAGTGTTTGCCTTTCTAGGCAAGGACGCTAGCCCGAATAGATTAAAGGCATGGCTCGGACGAAAGTTGATCCAAGGTACGAACTCTGGACCACGTGTCTGGTTAAACGGCGCCAATCCGTTGTTACCACAAAGGACTGTCAAACAATGAGGGCTCTCACCACTGATCAATCCTTCTTGGGATGCGGTACGCGTTCTACTTACATTCAGAATTCAATGCGATATGTTGTATACAATACCTTGCAAGGGCCCGCCGCTGTGCAAGTGACTGTTGTGTTGCTTACCTCCCCAGATGATTCCGGTGCCTCTACCGTTTTATCCGACAGTTGCGCCCGTAGAAACTTGGCTGTTGGCCTGGATTGAGGCCCGGCTCCGAGAATTCCGACTTCGGCTTGCGCCGCTGTAAGCGCTTCATTACCTTACCTCACAACTCACTAATTGACCTGTAATGAAAAAAACATAAATAACGAAAAGAACGCGGTAGTAGTCCTTCGTAACTTCAGTGCGACTCCTGCTGACATCCATCGAGAACGTTTTACAGTTAGAATCGTTTCTGGGCATCCGGTGAAACCTAGAAATTTCACAAATTCTTCTGACTCTAGTAGTAATGAATGGAAACTTCATGGCGATGTTCGCCAAACTCTGCCTGTCAGGGACGGAGGATTTCACTTCGTAACACTTCCGACACTGAATTTAGATGAAAGGTTCCTTAATAATCAAAGCTGCGTTGAAGGCAACGCCCGTGATCATTTTCGCCATCACAGGATAGTGGTTAGGCAGTGCATATAGACGACAAAATGCTGAGTAACTTCGATTAGTAAACGAAAAATGCGGAAAAAAATGCCAACTGCCACACATAGCCGCCCATTCCCGACTCCGGTTTTGTACGTACGCCAAACACTCCATCCTCTAACCCTATCACGCTCCGTCAGACAGCCTTGGATTCCTCACTGAAACATTCTTACGACTGCTACAAGTGGACGATTTCCCTCATGCCTTTTCGTCCCCTGCTGCCTTCGTTTTTCACTGAAGGGCGG